CCACAATTTGGTATTAGGCTGGTAATTCCACGTGTGTCTAGATTTGATCATGTTTCAGTGAATAATTATATAAATTTCTTAGAATTTTATACAAGGCCTAATATCATCCCATTTTGTTTCTCATACTTCTACTGTTAAGCGTAGTATACATTTAAGTTGAGCCGTGTTCTGAGTCCTCCCCTTACAGCGTTTAGTTTTAAACTCCTGTCTAAAGCCTAGTTTTATCATCATTTCTAACACTATTTCTAATCTTTTCGCCTTGTTTTACCCGCTCCACTGCAGTCCTCCTCCACCCCGTGCCCATATGTTCTCTTAGCAGTTTAAAGACGATATCTTTTTGAACTGCCCTCTAGAAACCCCAGCCAGGAATTTGCTACTCCATCCCTAAACAGGTGCACCCCATCCCCTAGCATAAAGGTCCCTTCTGCCGCAAAGGGGTGTCTGGTGTCCAATGATGGGACTGATATTGACTGCAATATCTGCCAAAGCGGTGGCAAAACACTGCTGTGACAATGTTGCAACTCTCCTTCTAGGCAGGACACCGCATATGATAGGGATCCCTCCCTTAGTCCTAATACGATCTATGGCTGCCTTGAACTTATCAAGAAGTTCCTCGCTCCTACACCGGCCAATATCATTGCCTCCTGCACTGAGGCAGATAATGGGTTTGTTCCCATTACCAGACAAGATATTGTCCATCCTGTCAATTATATCCCCCACCCCAGCTCCTGGCAAACACACCCTCATCCTATTTTTGTTTTTACCACAAAAGGCCCTGTCCATGTACCTTACCTGTGAGTCACCAACAATTAAAGTTTTTATACCTTCCTTGTCATCCCTGCCCCTGACTGTACTAACGTCCAATTCGTCTATCAAGGGACTGAACGGGTTGGTACACTTAGCTGTTGTTGTCGTTGTTGTCGTATCCTTCGTGTGCTTCTTCACCACCAGCTTTGTCTTCCCACTACTCACAATTTTCCACTCGCTTGATTTTTCGTCAGACACTGGCTTTACTCGTCCAGCCTCTCCTTTTAACTTCGCCAGCTCTTTCCTTAATTTCAGGTTCTCCAACGTGGCCCTCGCCAATTCTTCAATGGACCACCCCAGTTTGGTCAACAAACTCTCATACCCAAGACCGCACATAGCACTGGCCATATCTGATAATTATCCCTCCGGAGCTAACCCTGCCGTGACCTTTCCCCTAGTGAGGTCAGAACACTTCCAATTCACAAGCAACGCAGGTATTGCTCGAAGCCATTGCTGGTGACTTCCGCTTGTGAGCAGTGGTGGTAGAAATGAGGTGTCAGCCCGATATTAAATAAGTAATCTTCTAATTTTGTGAACCGAATTGCTTGTGAATCGAAGTTCAAAACCGACAAGAAGCACTACGTAAAGTGTGATTTCTGTAATGAATGGCAGCACAGAAAATGTAATAATGGTATATATATTAGGGTAAGGGACTTCTATAAAAAAATATATTATCTTTCCTTATAACTAGAAAAAACAGCCTCATATTTAAATCCTGACGGGTTAATATCATTGTTGACCTAGGCCCACATAGGATGTGAGCTGAGATTGCCGAAATGGGCCGAGGTCACTGCTGTAACTGGGCCGAGATCAGTGGGCCAAATCCACCAAGGGCCGACTTCACTGGCACCCAAGGCTAGTTCCCAAGAGATTAGGCTCTTACCTTTCCCGAAGACATAAATCGGTAAATTTATAGTAGTTCACACAACTGTGTTGGAAAGTCAAAACCATGTTTTCTAGTGCTTTTTTGTGTGTTTTGATTGGTTCTGACCTTGATTTCCATCAGAAATTGTCTGTTTTTTAGTTATCGCCCCTTCTACCCCAAACATGATAGAGGATCTTGTTGGAAACCGGGGTTTTGGGTGGATCATTTTCCGACAAAAATCATGGCCAAGTGAATACAAAATACACCAAAAAACACGAGAAAACCATACAAACCTAACCTTTTTTTGGATGAGCTAACCTAACCTAACCTGACATAACCTAACCTGACTTAACCTAACCTGATCTACCCTAACCTAACAAAGCCTAATCTAATCTAATCTAACCTAACCTAACCTAACCTAACCTGACCTGACCTGACCTGACCTGACCTAACTTTCATGGTGTTTTTACGTAACCCAACTCTCATCATATGAGGGAATCACTGTTATTTCTTAACTTATTCCAAATTAGAATCTTTACTGTGGTCGGGAGAACACCATGAGATCTAAAAAAAATTATTGCTTGTTCGTTTTTTCCCCAAAACGCGCAGATTAACTCCATATAATTGAAATGACACCAATCGCAGACTTCCATGGTCGGAAATGAATTCAAATTTCAAAGCATGAGAGACCCAAAATCACAATCGAATCTGATTGGGCAAAAAATACCACAAATTTTAAAAGCAGAAACCACAATTCATTTTAATTGGTGGGAAAAAAAAACCGCTTTTGATTGGCCACGTGGCTTGTACAGGAAAGCATGCGCATGACGATTTATGAAGGGAACATGCTGAGTGGGTGGTCAGGTAGGTGATAATGGCTGAAGATTAATGGAATTAAATGGAGAAAGATTTGGCATGCGCTATCTCCGTTATTATACATTTCCGACGGTAATGTAATACCTGTAGAAGAAAATTAACTTAAAATTAGACATCTTTTTCGAATATTATAAAAGATTTGGGGTACGAATGTTGTGTGAACTTTCTAAAATACCCATTAATCATCCTTCCTACCAATCACCCTTACGTGAATACGATTAGGTCCAACAATTGGGTAAATATTCGTCAATGGGCTGTTATCAGGTTTTGGTGCGAGAATTGTTTTTTTTTAAGTTTTTCGGTGCGTTTTACTCAAATCTGACTCTTCATTTCTTGTACAAATTAGCGGTTTTTGTAAAAAATTAACAGAAACAGATAATTGGCACAAAAATAAAGGTCAGATTTGGGCAATATTGCATTTTCACACCACACATTCCAACCACTAATCTATTATCATATTCGAATAAGACGTCTAATTATAAGATAATTTTCATAAACTATTACCTTACTGTCGCAAATGTATAATAACAGAGATAGCGTGTCCAAAATTTTCTCTATTTTCTTCCATTAATCTTCAGCCAGTATCTCCTACCTCACCTCCCACACTGCATGTCTCCTTCATAAATCATCACCCGCATTGCGTTCCCATACACGTCACGCGGCCAATCAAAAGCATTTTTTTTTTGGCAACCAATTAAAATGATTTTTGGTTTAATTCGCGGTATTTTCAGCCCAATCAAAATCGATTTTTATTTTGGGTCTCTCATATTTCCCTATTCATATTCATTTCCGACCATGGAAGTCTGTGATGGGTGTCACTTCAGTTATATGGAGCTGATTGCGAGTTTTGAGGAAAAAACGAAGAAACTGTAGCATATTTTTGATCGCATGGTGTTCTCCCGACCTCAGTAAAGTGTCATAAGTGCAAGACTGAATGTAAATATCGCAAAAACCAACATATGTGGCGTTGTCCTAACTCGTCCCTTATCCCAAAGACAAAGAAGAGACGGCAATAAGGTAAGAAATAGGTGATTCCATCATATGGTGAGAGTCAGTTAGGTTAAGTTTGGTTTGGTTTTTGTTTTTCTAATGTTTTTAAGTGTATTTTTTATTAGTTTAGCCATTTTTTTTTTCGGGAAACGTCCCACAAAAAAAAAATCGATAAAAAAAATATGGCTAATTTCCGCCCTAAATGAAGGTCATATTCGGTCCAAACACACACAAATACACTAGAAAAATATATTTTTCACTTTCTAACAGTGTGGTGCGCTTAAGCAAATTTACCCAGATTTGAGTAAAACACAACAAAAAACACAAAATAAAAGGTAAATTTGCATTGTCACACTGTTCACTGTTAGAAAGTCCAAAAATATATTTTTCTAGTGTATTTTTGTGTGTTTAGACCGAATATGACCTTCATTTAGGGCGGAAATTAGCCGGGTTTTTCTATTTTTTTTCGTTGGACATTTTCCGAAAAAAAATTATGGCAAAATACACCAAAAAACACTGGAAAAACAATAACCAAACCTAACTTAACTGACTCTCACCATATGCTGGAATCACCTATTTCTTACCTTATTGGCCTGGTTCTTGTTTGTCGTTGCATTCTGGGATTCTTACCCAATGCCACATATGTTGGTCTTTGCGATATTTACATTGTCTTGCTCTTAGTACACTTTACTGAGGTTGGAAGAACACCATTAGATAAAAAAAAATGCTATAGTTTCTACGTTTTTTTTCCCCAAAAACTCGCAATCAGCTCCATATACTTTAAGTGACACCCATTGCAGACTTCCATGGTCGGAACTGAACTTGAATTTCAAAATATGAAACCCAAAATAAAACTCGAATTTGATTGGGCCAAATATACTCCAAATTAAACCCAAAATCATTTTAATTAGTTCCAAAAGCAAAAGCGCTTTTGATTGGCTGCGTGATGTGTACGGGAACGCATGCACGTGATGATTTATGGAGACGCGCAGTGTTGGAGGTGAGGCAGGCGATAATGGAGGAAGATTAATGGAAGAAAATAGAGAAAATTTTGTATATGCTATCTCCGTTATTATACATTTCCGCCGGTAGTGTAATAGATGAAAATTATCTCATAATTAGACGTCTTATTCGAATACGATAATAGATTAGGGGTAGGAATAAACGGTGTGTAAACGCAATAATACCAATTAAAACCTATTCTCATACCAAAAGAACCAAACTACTTAACCTAACCTAACTTACAAGGAAGAGGAGGAAATGAAGAGACAACTGCCTTTAAGTGAGTATAACCTAGGTAAACATGGCGGGAACCAGCAGACAGGCAATGGACGAATATTAACCAACGATTGTTCTCGAGGCCTAAAGTCTGAGAGAGCCAATGCTCGTCTAGAGACATCTCACCATTGACAGTGCCAAGGCAACTGCCAGTCATCAATAACAGTACGTATACAATATTTACCTTAACTCCATCTACAATATATCTTTTTTCTGCATCACTAAGGTTAATGTCTGTCATCCTTATTGCTAGTTCCAACAGTAGTGTCAGGAAATATCTTCTTTTACTATATTCGCTTATTTATTTAAAAAAAGGGCAACAACGTGATCAAAACAATACAAACATTAGACAACGTTCGCCATAACAATCCGACTGTGTTTGTGAGCCAGTCATTTTATTATTTTTACAATTCTTTCTCGGATTTACTAAAAAGTACAAATACCCCAGACATTTAAAAAGTTCAAAGCACGACAATCATGTATAAACTTGTACAACCCACGGGAAAAAGACAATTACAATATTGTGCGCTTTCGTGTATTTAATACAGAAGGTATTACCTCCTGTATATATGTTTTAGTTAGTTCTGTTTTGTTTTTCTTGTTCTTTACTGTACTTATCACGTCATTTTTTTTGTTTAACAAATTTATTGACAAAGATTGGAGTACAGTTTGTCTATTCTGAGTAATTCAGTCAGGCTCGTTAGCCGCTTGGGCGATCGGTCACGTCTCTGTACTGTTGGCAAGTACTGGGCATGCACCGGCTCCTGAAGGTACCTGAACCTTCTCCAGTGTTGATCAAGTCTTGTCTTTCAACAGCGCACACTCGGTGCTGTCACAACACTTTCTGGCAGATTTTTCCAAGAGTTCACAACCCTCACTCCGAAAAAGTTTGCCCTCACAGTTTTCTGGACTTGTGGCTTCTTCAATCATGAGCTGTGACCCCTTGTGGGGCGAGCGTCCGCCAGCTCCAAGTAAGGACACTCGACTGAGTAGTGCCCCTTGAGATGCTTATATACCTCAATTAGGTCACCACTTGCCCGTCTGTAGTATAAGCTAGGCAAGTTCAGGCGCTCCAATCTCTCAGGGTAGCTGAGGTGCCGAAGTGCAGGCACCAGTCTGGTGGCCCTCCTTTGAACATTTTCAACCAACTGACAGTCCCTAGCATATCTCGGGGACCAAACGGGGTGACAGTACTCCAGATGGGGAACCACTTCACTCTTGAAGATCGTTACGAGGGACGGACCGTCTAGATATCCGAACGACCAAGCTGAGTGACTGTAAACGTAAGGTCACATGACAAGTGTTAATGCTGCTGACACTATATTAAATGGGGGGGTGGGGTGGAAATTAGGGTAGATGATCACACGTGTTAGGTCAGGTTTGCTTAAGTTAGGTTGGCATAAAGCAACCCAGTTAGAGATAATGTAGTGGATTCCTCCCCTACAAACGCTTTTGTCGCTGAGTAGCAGACCCCCCGAATTCCCCAGTGGTCTCGGTCAAGCCTTACATGACGGAGGTTAATTATTAAGCCACGCCTACCTCCGCTATATAAGATCTCACCTCGTGGTAACCTACCTCTTTCTCCCCGCAAGGTGGACAGCCCACCTGCTATCAATCTCCCTCTTTATTTCCCACTTCCCAACCTTTACCTTCCTCCTACACCGTCTTCTATCTTCCTGAGCCAATAGGCTCTCTTCTCTCCATCACATCGGATCTACCTACAGCCAGTCTTCAAGCAACACCTCCTCCTCCACAAGCTGGTCCTCCTCTGAGCATCCTCACCAACCAGCTCTCTCTACATCACGCTTGTAACCACGCTGCCACTTCCCAGCATCAAGCTGCACTGTACATCCAATACAACATGTATACAGAGAGCACATTGTGAGTTTCCTTTCTCCATCCCATCCTGAGGATCATATGAAGATCCTCCCCCCAAACCTACTTGGGGGGGAGGATCTTCATATGATCTAGCCTGGGGGGGGGAGGATCTTCATATGATCAAGCCCAGTCGCGCTCATCTGAAGATCCACCCCCCCCCTAACCTAACCTAACCTAACCTAACCTAACCTAACCAAACCTAACCTAACCTCCCCCCCAAACCTACTTGGGGGGAGGATCTTCATATGATCTAGCCTGGGGGGGGAGGATCTTCAGTTGGATACTTTGGGGGGGAAGATCTTCATATGATCCTATATATATATATATATATATATATATATATATATATATATATATATATATATATATATATATATATATATATATATATATATATATATATATATAAAAGTCAGATTCATGTAGATAATGTCACGGTTCACTGCCATGCAGGACAGAGGTTTGTACACAAAGAAATGCATCATATTCATTGACACTATAGGTAGGCGATAATGGCCTAAGAATAATGGAAGAAATAGAGAAAATTTGGGTATGCGCTATCTTCGTTATTATACATTTGCGACGGTCATGTAATACTGTAGATGGAAATTATCTTATAATTAGACGTCTTATTCGAATATGATAATAGATTAGGGGTAGGAATGTGGGGTACGAAAATTCAATAATACCGAGTGTAGCGTATACTTGCGGTATTGACTATGTTTTGGCAAATTTCTCTACTGCATAACATAAATATTGATTAAAAACTATATAATAACGTTGGGAAAGTTTGCCTGTTTGTCCTGATCCCGTCCTATTACACTTTGATATGACCAATTATTAAGTCCAACGTCTGAAAGAAGCACAGTGAAGAATAACCTTCCACCAGACGCAATATACTGCCATCATCTTATAATCTTAGTGCATAGATAGCTAGGGTCATTATTTATACTTAACGATACATTTAAACTAGACAATAAAAATCCAGTTCATATTTTATCAATGAGCCATTTAAATCTTTGCAATATTCATAATTTTTATAAAAGAGACAATGACAAAATAATGAATAGGGGTACGTATTCTATAGTTATATTTTCCTTTTGTAATAAAAACCCCACAAGTGTTCTTGAATTTAAAAGACACTATTAGTACAGTAAAATAGATAAGATTTAGACAATAGGACGATAATTAATTGTTAGGGTAGTATTTTAATTTTTAGCACTAGTCAGGAAGAGTAAATGATGACTTTATTCACAAATTTCACAGCTACTACTGAATTGTATGAATTACATATTAAGGTTACATAAATCTATATTTATTTAAATTAACTTTACATGCTTCAGTACTGATAATAAAGCTGAATAGCTATTTATTAATAGGCTAGCAAAACAACAAAATAGCAGTATTGCCAAATCAACCGATTTCACGGCATATGGGCGGTTTGTCAATATGCACTACAACCGTACTACTACTACTACTACTACTACTACTACTACTAATTATAATATCAAGTAAAAACACATTTTTAGATTGATGGCCTATTTTTCGTTGGATACTGGGCGGGTTAACGGGTTGCTGTGCACTCGCTAATGAAAAGTGTTGATTGAACTGGCTACACTGGTTCAGGAAAATGGCTGTAGCAGGTGTATTAAAATTTGCTCCTCATCTTCGAGAGCTTCGTCTCCATTTATGTCAACGATCTGCAGCCAGCCAAGGTGTCAGGTAATGCATGGTTGATTACTTATAATCTTGCTATAGAAAATAGGGGACAGTGCCGGAGTTAAGGTAGAATGGAGGGGTAATAAACTTTTAGTAGATTTCGTCGGCCTATCTTGGTTAATTTCAATTTACCGTTGTTTGTATTCCTGCACAGACTTTGGGTAATTTACGAGGAAACCACTACCACCAGAAGGAGTTATTCGAATTTGTTTCATATGTTCCGCATATATTCTTGTCATTATAAAAGATGCGACATTTACTAGAACCTGACCTAACGAACCAAAGAAACTTATCTAACCTTACCTAACCTAACCTAACCTAACCTTACCTAACTTCCTATCCGGAAAGTACTTAGCCAGTCATAGTGCACTTATGGTAAAATAGTGTTAGCAGGAACTAAGCCGGTCACAGCAAAATATCCACTATGTAATTTTTATTAATTTTTAGAATTTTTTTTTCTATCTACGATAACCTGTAGTGAGCAAGGCATGAAGGATGCGGTAAATTGCAGGGTAAAACATGGTAAGAAATGATCATTTGACAATAAAATGATGTCTACATGCTTTGTATGTTAAGAAATTAGGTAAAATTTTAGTTTCGGTCATCCCTGTATTTAGATATCCAACCTAACCATACCTACAGTAACCTAACCTAACCTAACCTAAGCAATCTAACCTAGTCACTGCGGTCCGACTAATTACCCAAATGTAGCCAAATATAGCCGGAATGAAGTCAAATAATGGTCCTACATGAATAAATCGGACTGCTAATCACTTCTCGATTAGTATTTGGTGTCAGAAAGTCACAAAAAATTGGAAAACTTACTTTAATCTGAGTTAATAGATCTCGTGCATGTACCGACGGAGCGAGGAATTACCCAAATGTAGCCACAATGAAGTCAAATGATGGTTGTACAAGCGTAATTCGGGCTGTGAATCACTTCTTGATTATTATTTGGTGTCAAAGTAAAAAAAAATTGGTAAACTTAATTTAATCTGAGTTGTGTTAGGTTAGGTTAGGTACATGCACTTGATCTATTAACTCAGATTAAATTAAGTTTACCAATTTTTTGTGACTTCGTGACACCAAATACTAGTCGAGGTGAGGTTAGGTTAGGTTAGGTTAGGTACATGCACTCGATCTATTAACTCAGATTAAATTAAGTTTACCAATTTTTTGTAACTTCGTGACACCAAATACTAGTCGAGAAGTGATTGGCAGTCCGATTTATTCATCTAGGACCATTATTTGACTTCATTCCGGCTATATTTGGGTACATTTGGGTAATTAGTTGGACCCAGTCACTGAACCCAGTGACTATATTTAACCTAACCTGGGGGGCTGCACCCCCCAGATCTCCCCCTTTCTGGTGGGGGTTAAATTCCTAAGATTCCCTGGTTGACCAAAACTAAAATAATACCAGAAATTAATTATTAACCATGAATACTCCTCGGAAAAATCTGCTGAATCAGCACATGTTGCCTGTGCCGTTTGTTTACAGCTGGCCCATTCGGTACAAGCGCACTCTCACGTGTACAAAATATGTAAAATTACACCATGACGCTTCAACATGGTTGTTTTCATTGTTACCAGATATCAAAATTAGTAATTTCTGTTTATTATGGTTGAGGGTCCGAGGGCCTCTGATGTTAGGTTAAGGTTAGGTAGATTTCTTTGGTTGGTTAGGTCAGGTTCTAGTAATTGTCACCTCTTAAAATACTATAATGATAAGAACATGTGGAAAAATTTAATGAAATTGAACAACTCCTCCTGGTGGTAACAGTGTTCTCATAAATTACCAATCTTTGTAATGCTGAACCAATATGAACTTGCATGATGTTTGACTGAAATTTATATCTGTCTTGGGTGTTGGTGTCTTAGGCAGGAATCTGTATTATTTGTTTACTCCACATTCAGTCTAGTATTCTTGATGTCAATTGATGTTTATTCTTTTAGAAATGTTTGTTTCTAATTGTACAATTTCCTTTTGCAGAGACTTTATTGAGCAGAATTATGTTGCTATGAAGAAAGCCAATCCTAAATTTCCTATCCTGATTAGAGAGTGTTCTGGCATCCAGCCCAAGGCATGGGCTAGATTTGGTATGTATATTTTGTTTTAAATTTAGACTAAGTTACAATATAGCCCTAATGTATTTTATGACAACTGTTGACACTACTCGACAAGAGTGGTCTGACTAAGCAGCTATCTGATGAAAAACAGTACAGTATCTATATAGAATATCTGCAGTAAAAAAAAACACTTCCTTGCAGTTGTAACAAACTGGAACAAGTTACCTGACACATTAAAACCAGTAATAGCATCAAATGATTCAAAGCTAAAAAAAAAATAAAAATACATACGTTGTAGACAAAGCTACAGAAAGAGAAGAGTTTATTTTTAACCATAGTTCATAAAAATTTATACCTTTACTCCTGTAAATACTGTATACTATTACTGATTAATAACCAAGCCTAAACAAAGGACCCTATTGGAAACAAGCATCAGACTTTGTTAGCTATCCTTGGTCAAATGAATCCAGGAAAAAAAGTCACAAGAAAAAAGGCACGGAAAAACCTAACCTATATGCAATGCCATCATATACTGTATATATTGTGTTGTCGATGTGTACAAGCCATGTGACTTTATTTCCATTGCAAAGCGGCTGCTGTGTATAAAACACATTAATGTGCAGTAACACCAGATTATTCAATAAAAACAGTAATGTATGCAGTAGTGAGTAGACCCTTGCCATTTACAGCTTTGTGATTCACGGTTTTGACTATTCACTGTTCATTACCTAAAAAATACGTATATACATCTCCTCCCCGACTTACGACCTACTCGACTTACGACCACCCGCACTTACGACCTGCCTCAAGTCATGCCAAAATTTTGTCAAATTACGTATTTTCGAGTCCCAATGTCAGTACACAGACAAAATTTTCGTTTGTATTTCACTTTAAAATGGCTGGCAAGCTTAAAAGTGAGAGTTTTGTGGTGCTGAGAAGAAAAAGAGACACCCATTTTAGATTTTCTATGTATTATTTAAGCATTTTCAACTTGCGACCATTTCGACCTGGATTTGGGTTCCAAACCCCGTTGTAAGTCGAGGAGGAGCTGTACTATCGTGGACAAAAGTTCTCTTCCTGTAGTGTAACTGAGACACAGGAATGAGTCTCCGAACTGACTTTCCCTGATTGTTATCTGGTGCGGGTGTGCTGTGCGGGTCGATACTGCTTCAGTTTGGGAAGCAGCGAACTTTTGTCCACGATAGTACATAAAAATGCAAAAAAAAAAAATATTGGTTGGAGGTACAAAAAAAAGGTTTGTATACATATTACATAAACAGCACCTTCTCTCCTCATAATCATCCTCTGAGCGATACCATTACGTCAATAAATTACCGTAATAAATACAGTACAGTATACTGTATAAGCTAATTTCGATTGAGTCCAACCCAGCCATCTGCCCTACTGTTACACATAATTCTCTTTCCACTTCATTTTTTCTTATTTTATACTTACTATATAAGTTTGTTGTATGATTTCATTGTTTAATTAATATTCATCACCATTATACACGTATTTAAAGAAAACATACTAAAATTTGTGTGGATGTGTTTATGGGTGATTGAAGTTTACTGCATCTCAAACATAATGTACAAACTGGCTCAGTACACTTTTATAGTAAAGTACAATACAGTACAGTATTGTATATTGTTGTAAGTATATTTCATTGTTTTATTAATGTTTTTCACCAGAGTATGCATGGGCATCTGAAGTTTCTGGAAATTCGCATGATTCCATCCACAGAAACTCATTCCCATGTCCAGAATTGAGAGATTTTCCCAGAGTTTCTCAGAAGGCTCAGAAAAAAAAATCTGGGTTTTGGAGAGCTCTGAGGATTGAAGATTCCGGTTAATGGGGAGATTACTGTATACAGTACATGTTTCTAAGTGGTTTCTCATTTCTGTGACCTCTGAGTTTTAGGTATTCTCAACCTCTAATGACAGAATGAATCCATTCTCAATCTCAAGTTTTGGATGATTATTCTTCTTCAGGCTAATCCTTCAAGTATGGATTTTTTTTTTACGGGGATTAGTCCACCCGGGCACAGGTCACTGACCCACATCAGGCCCAGGAGGGCGAAAATATAATAATAATTTATAATAATAATTAATAAAAAAAATACAATTATAATATTAAGAAAAAATTATAATAAATAAATACAAAAATGAAAAAAAATATAATTATAATATTAAGAAAAAATTATAATAAATAAATACAAAAATGAAAAAAAAATCAAGGGTGAGAAATGACAGTACAGTATGTAAGTTGTTTTTTCAATAGTAAGAGAAACAATTGAAACCCTGCAATTGTGTGTAAATGAGGCAGAAAGTCAGATCAGCGACCTGAGACTTGGTCACAATTTTTTTAATGCCATATGGCAGTTATCTGAAGAACATCTTTTTAGCATTTCTTTTTTTGTAACATCCTTTATTGTCCAGTATTAGTACTAGAGGAAACTGGAAGACCCAGAGAAAACATGCTGGATTTGGTTGGGTTATACTGGATAATATACGGTACAGTACATATAATTTCTGAGGCTTGAGTAATAGGCATATGAGTTACTTGTTACCTGCATCTGTCATAAGTAACTTAAACAAAAACAGTACAGTAATAACCCGATATACGCGGTCAATTGAACCCGCAGAGTAGCGCGTGAAACGCGTGAATGGAATAACTGAACATATGGGATTAATTGAAATAGAGACTGGGCCGACCCCCAAACTCCACTTTTTCAGACACAGTACAGGTACCTACATTGTAGTAAAAATAGTATCTTAACTTTATGATGGTATGCACACACACATATATAGAAGAGAAACATCAATAAGAGAATAATATACAGTGCTGTACCAGGTAAAAGAAAAATCAAGGTTTAACACTTACGTAAGGTTAGGTTAGAAAAAATCGAGGTTTAACACTTACGTAAGGTTAGGTTAGAAAAAATCGAGGTTTAACACTTACGTAAGGTTAGAAAAAATCAAGGTTTGAATCCAAAAATGGCGGCACGGCAAGACCGCCAGCCGCTCTCCGCGTATATGAGTAGATGCACCTCGTAAATTGGGCATTCCGGTTCTGGCAGGGTACCGCGTAAATGACAAAACGCGTAAACAAAACCCGCATAAACCGAGGTATTACTGTACGAGTATCTTTATATAGTGGTGAGAGAAATATGTGTATGTGCCTATAAATATATGCTCTATATTGATTGCTACCAATGTTATTTCCATCTTTACATAGTGTCGGTTCCTCCAACTCCACACACCACCTGTATTTCCAATTGTAAACGTATACACACACACACACCATCACTCGCTCCACTTTCTTACATACACCATCACTCTCTCCACCTCTTAACACATATTATCCCTCCACTTCTTTACACACACACACACACACCAATACTCCCTCCATTCCCACACACATCACCTCCCTCCCCTCCACACACACACACACAGAGCTTATTAAGTCTGCCTCCAGACACTAATTAAGTATCAGCATACAGTACTTTACAATTGTTCTAATTTTTTTTTTTACATCTTTACAGAAATGGGACGAGAATCCAGTGCATCATTAGATGGGCTTACAGCTGAGCAAGTTGCAGAAACTATTAAAAAGCTGAATGCATCTAAGTAAATATTTTTTAATGTATAGCATGTATATATATGTATGTAGCTGAATTATTCTATAAATTAAAATGATTTTTTTTTCTTTTACTGTGAATACCCAAAATATTGACTTCCACTTTATGGAGAAATACAGTTTTAAATGGTATGTTGGTACTGTTGAATAATATGTGGTTCATTGTTACTCTAGTTCACTACTTAGCTATCTTGTAGATCCTGAGGCAATTTTGTGGTAAGGTTTGGCATGCTAAAAATTACTATGGCCTAATCAGTAAATTAGTTTTTGTTATTTTTATGATGACCCTTTCAAAGTTTCTTAAAAATTCAGAAAAACTATGTATGATTCGAAATACATTTTTTTTTTAAGACTTCACTTCCTTGCTCACAAATTTTTTGGCCCAAAAATGGCGCACTATATCATCATATACGGAAAATTGTGATGTTTTGAATGGTGCAATTTGATTTTTTTTTGCAACTACAGGTTGTACCCCTCTAGTCCGGCATTTTGTGGTCCGGAAACTCCTGTGGTCCGGAACGATTTTAGTTTGCCCATGGAGAAAATTAATTTGAGTCTGGTACTTTCGATGTTTGGCTAAATTTTGCCTTATTTACCTTACTTTTTTGGCAAATTACTACCTGTAATAAAGCAACATCCTAATAAACCAATGAAAATAACACAGATAAAATTAAATAAAAACTAAAAACAACACAGAAAAAGTTCTAATGTTCTACAGCTTCAGCTAGAGTTGAGCATACTTCATCCGAGTAAAAACACACACAACAACATTGGCTGTCCTTATGTTTTCAACTTTACCACCACTGGTGGGTAGAATTTTTTTTTAAATTCAGAAACAATTAAAATATATATGGGCAGTAAATAAGTGTTGCTTTCATATTCTTAGGTATAGTAATGACGATATGTTTTCACATGTGCGCACTTACATACGTGAGCTCACTTTTTTCTTTACCATTAATAGTTAGCTACTTATATTGTTCCATTTATTAACATTAAATAACATAAAACAACCATGTTAATTTTTTACATTAATTTTACAACAGCTACAACCAGGGTCTTATTTTCTTCAGTTTTATATGTAGATCCAGTCAGTCACTGGTTTTGTAATCAACGAAAACAATCCCGTCTCGTTTCCTCGTGTTTTAATATTCTACATATTATTAATGAAGTGTATTGTTCATTTTGCACACACAAAAATTAATTAAATCAAAAAGACATTCAGTAATAAACAATAATGAATATTATGTACTTAAGAGAAATAACACTATTTACACGATTTGTGCACGTCTGAACGTTGATGGGCTGCTCAAACCCGCCGAAATTCGAGTTTCCGCCGTCAAAATTTTAAATTGCGTAGTTTTTTTTTTGTGTGTCCAAATAAAAAACGTCAAATTAAAAACTTCCCAAATTTGAGAACCTACTGTACAACATTTAACCCTTCAATATATCTTCAGAGACCACGAAGCAGTGAAAGTGGTGCTAGTGCTTCCAAGCGTAAGCACAAGTCACTATCTATCCAGGGAAAGGGTGAATTTCCATGGTCCGGAAATTTCCATGGTTCGTCACCGGTCAGGTCCCGAGGTTGCCGGACTAGAGAGGTACAACCTGTAATAGTTTTGTGGTACAGTAAACTGCTGAAAACTCCGCAAAAGGTGCAAAAAAATTTGTATATTTTCGATTTCCCTTTTACAGTAGTTAAAACAATTATCTGTGCATACTTTGTGAGAAACAATATGAGACCATGGACGATAAATTTTGGTATACGAGGGCTGTCACTAGTCACAAAATTTTGGAGCATATTGACCCCCACCTGCACAGATAGTTGTACAGTGGGGTATGCTATAACGAATCTAATTGGTTCTAGAACCACGTTCGTTTGTTTTAGGATTAATCCGTTCCAGGCCCCCAAATACAACCACTTAACACTGAAAAATTTCTGTGGAAATTGTAAAAAATACGGTACTTTATCTTACCTTAGTGTTGTTAGCATGCAGGACAGGAGGCAGAGGAGGAGAGGGGAGGAGAGAATTATGGAGAAGAGGTGGAAGGAGAGGAGTCATCCTTTCTAGCCCTCTTTGGTGACTGTCTTACAGGCACTGTCTGTTTATTTATAATTTCTTTCTTAGTTTCAAGGGTTATTAGCTTTCTCACTCGCTTTTGACGATTCATTGTTATAATTGTACACTTGTATAACAAAATAGTTATAAAAATAACACGAATTTCCACATCAAAAGACGAAATTTCAACAAGTTCAGTGGTACACTGACTACACAACGAACCAATATGGCGCCTTACGCTCTTGCTGTGAGCCGCGGTACATAAATATTCATGCGCCAGACGAAATAGTCCCGTATTCATCCGCGTTCGTTGTGGGAGTTGCGTTCGTTATAGCATTCTCAATTTTATAGGTAAAACCGTTCGTTATAGGAATATTAGTAGTAGAATCCGTTCGTTATAGCATACCCCACTGTATTAGCTACCGTACATGTTATGAATGCAAAATTCTTTATGAATATACAGTAATGCCTCGAATAACGATGGTAATGTGTTCTCCAATAACAATTGCAGTGTAAGGTGAATCATTAATTACCATTGAAATAAAGAAAGCAATAATATAATGAGATGCATGCCTAAGTGTGACCTTTTCATATCTTTTCCCCCAAAACAATAAGATTAATGAAAAATGCAAACTATATTCTTTAAATAATGTTTATGCATGCACCTTATACAATATAAATTAATAATAATAATATGGTCACACAAGAGGAGATGGGATGCCATTGTTGTTGTCAGTTTTCCATATGAAACTGAAGAAAATAAGACCCTGGTTGTAGCTGTAGTAAAATTAATGTAAAAAAAAAAAAGTATGTATGATTTAAATAATATTTAATGTTAATAAATGGAACAATAGAAGTAGCTAACCACTAATGGTAAAGAAAAAAGTGAGACATTGCGCAACGCCATCGTACGTAAGTGCGTATATGTGAAAAATAGTCATTTCTCTACATAAGAATATGAAAGCAACACTTATTACTGTTCATATATGTTTTAAATAATACTTACTAATGTAAAACAATATTATACTCACTGATAAAGTCTAAAAAATAAGGAAAGCCAATGAATGTTGTTGTGTAAGTTTTTACTCAGATGACAAAGTCATCAGGTTCAACTCTGGCTGAAGCTGTAGCTTTCCATAAGGATGTCATAGCTGTTGCTGAAACTGTTACAAAACCTGTAGTTGTTGCTAAAGATGCTGCTGATGCTGGAATTGATGGTGTAGTTGAAGTTGATGGTTTAGGCCTTCGAATAATAAAGCTGTCGAAAGAACCTTGCACAGCTGCTTTCTTTTCTCATTGCACATCTTTATGTAAATGGTGGGGGGGGGGGGTTATGGGCATCGCGGTGGTCACGGCCGTCAGATTTTAACACTTATTTTGTGCAATAAATTTAGAACATAAATAAAGAAACAAGGGCATAATATCAAATAAACATCAATAACAAACACTTTGAGAAAGAAGAGAACAAATCACTTGCTCCAAACACATGAGCAAATGGAGTGGGTGGAATGCGGGATCTGGGCAAGCTGACTTCCAGGCCGCACCTAGCACGTGGTTTGAATTTTCACTGTGACCAACAATTAGCTAAGTTAATATAATTTTTGGATAGCAAAAAATGAGGTGTAACAATAGCATATTCAGATAAGCAAATACAGTATTTGGATAGTGATCTTCAGATAGTGAGGGCTACCTGTAAGTGCCTTACTAATAAAGTAGATTTTATATCAAGATATACAAGTCTTAGTAGAAAAGATTCGAGGGAAACGAGGTTACTTCGAAAAAATACAAATAAATGCATGGCCATTATATTTTGTACATAACAGTTAACAGTCAATACAATACATCAGCAAGAGGCCTTCAGCTGTAAATTACAAAATTTCACAGTATGATAACGAAAGATAACACAATATACAGTATATCAATATTTATATATATGTTCCAAATATATGTTCTTATCTTGCAAAAATCATCTGTTATAGTATAATAATAAATGTAATGATAAATGTACAGTATGAAATATGGCATCTGGATATGATGAGTACTACCTTAACAATTATCAATATCACAATGAAGCATCAAGTGAAGGGAATTGGGGCTGAATGGTGGGCACCAGTTATCGTGAACAGCAGCACTTTCACATATGATAGCAAAGTTTGGCTTTTCACTACCCATTCCCAAAACCTTCTAAACACATCAATGCACAGAAGCTAAACCTTAAAGGAGACATACAGCACTCAGTCTTGCACTTGGGGATTTCATTCGTTACTAGGAAAACATAATTAATCAAAGGACATTACTCTTGAAACAGTGCATAGGGGATGTTGCAGAATTTTATCATAGCCCATTGTTATATATATATATATATATATATATATATATATATATATATATATATATATATATATATATATATATATATATATATATATATATATATATATATTATGAATTGAAAAATCATGGTCTCTAAACCATGTGATGAGTACAAATGACATTCAAATCTATAGAATTTGAATACAATCAAAATTTCAATAGAAGAATGCACAAACTGTATTGCTACCAAGACATCAAGCAAACTGTTGTTGACATTGAGCACAAATAGAATTTTTACAATTGGAAGGTCATGCTGAACTTCAGAGGTCTTCACACATTTATAAAAACTTATACTGATAATGGTAATTCTGCTTTGTTGTAAGCATCATAAAAGTGTATACAAATACCTCTTCCCAATATCCTGCTTTAATCAATTAATAGTATCATGGATTCTGTTATATTGTACATTAATCACGTGTAGTACTCTGATTTGGTTTGGTGACCTTTATATTTAATCTATATTTAGAGAATTGTTTTAAAATTCTACTGTTTATTCATACACATCTACAGCTATGTCCAGCAACATTTGCTTCCTTTACTGTCAGTAGTTGAGGAAAGAGGTATAGTAACCACCAGATACGTCTACTGGCCCACTGATAAGAAACATCTTGATCAAATAGAAATCACTCAAA